CAATTGTTGGGCAAACATTAGGACTTGTATTTATAAACGAAATAGAGGTATATTTTGTGTTAGAAATGGGTTGTCAATTGTTGGGCAAACGTTAGGACTTGTATTTATAATTATATATATAACAACTAATTAAACTGACACATAATTTCGTAAATTTGTAGCTATGTCGACTAATGCTGATAAAGGATGGATGTATAAGTGAATAAATAGTAACGGGACTATAAATCCAGTTTTCCAAGTCGAAGTGGTTGGATTTTTAAATTTTGCTTTCTCTAATGAGCGATCTACGGCAAGATGTCCTTGTAAGAAATGTCAACTTCAAAAGTTTAAAAATAGAAACAAGATTCATATAGACTTGTTAAGAAAAGGATTCATGATTAATTATAGTCACCAGTATGCACACGGTGAATTAGAACCCGAACTTCAACAACCATAACAAACAATAGTGGACGAAGATTATAATGAGTTTGATGGTATTGAACAAATGGTGATGGATCAAAATGTTCCCGGTACATCAAGTACGTGGGACGAGCAAGAATCAAATCAACACGCACAACGTTTCTATGATATGTTACGAGCTACAGACGAGCCGTTGTGGGAGGGACGTCAGAGATTTTCAAAGTTACAGGCAACGGCAAGGTTTTTGAATTGGAAGGCAGATTGCAATGTACCAGAGACAACCTTCAATCGTAACATTTCTTTGGTAAAAGAAATGCTACCCGATGGTGAACAACTGGTTGGTAGCTTTTACGAGACAAAGAAGATGTTGAAGGAGCTTGGTCTTCCGAAAGAAAAGATACATGCTTGCAAGAAACATTGCATGCTATTTTATAAGGAATATGTTGATCATAACAATTGTCTAGTATGTGGGGGTCTTGTTACAAGACAACGCCGAAACAATAAGGTGCCTAATTTGATGTTGACGTATTTGCCGATTACACCAAGAATACAACGGTGGTATTTGTGTAAGAAAATAGCAAAGGAGATGACTTGGAACCATGATCATCAAACTGAGACGAGAAAGATGGTACATCCGAGTGATGAGGAGGCTTGGAAACATTTTGACAGGATGCATCCCGATTTTGCTCAAGAGATTGGGAATGTTCGTTTGGGATTATGTACAGATGGTTTCAATCCCAATAACTCAAACTCAAATCCATACTCATTATGGCCTTTTTTTAGAAACTACAATCTACCATCTTGGATGTGCATCATAGAATGGAACATCTACTTGGCTTTGTTGATTCCTGGCAAGAAGAGCCCTGAACATAACTTGGATATGTTTCTTCGGCCCTTGATCGACGAGTTGAAGATGTTATTCTTTGACGGTGTCGTTACCTATGATGCTCATTGACGAACAAATTTCACAATGAGGGTCGTACTATTGTGGACGGTTAGTGACTTCCATGCTTATGCCATGCTATCTGGTTAGAGCATGCATGGTAAGTTAGCTTGCCCATATTTCATGGGTTTTTCATGTGTGTTCCAGTTGCGAAGCGAAGGGAAATCGTGTTGGTTTGACTGTCACCTCAAGTTTCTGCTAATGAGACACTCGTTCAGGCGTGATAGGAACCAATTTCGTGTTGGACATGTCGAAAAAGCTGGTCCATCCCCTCTTCTAACTGGGGAGCAAATATGGACACAAGTTTGTATCCTTCCTACGGTCTATGAAGGAGTCCCACACAGATCAAGGCAATATAGGAAGCCTGTGGATTTTGGGGTAACCCACAATTGGGTAAAGAAGAGCATTTTCTGGAAGCTGCCATATTGGCACACTTTGTTGATCCGACATAACCTAGATGTAATGCACATTGATGGCAGAAACTTGATGTGACAATCAAACAAAGTGTACCAATACCAAAGGGCAAAGTTACATGTGAGGGAAGAACGAAATAAAATATTTAAACCAAAAGCTTCCTACTCATTGAACAAAGAGCAAGTGGGAAAGGTGTGTGACTGGTTAAAGAAGCTTAAATTCCCAGACGGCTATGCTTCTAACATAGGTGCATTAGTAAACGTTGAAGATGGTAGTTTTTACGACCCATTGATCACTTGGGAAAAAATCCCAAGGGACGTGAGACGCCAAATGTGGGAGCGTTTTCATGTTCGTGGTATATTTTTAAATTGTTAAAATTTTGCTATATTTTTAAACTTAAGAAGCGACTAAACTTTTACGTACAGGGGTACTGCATTTGGGATTCGACTTTGGACGCCTAGATCCTAGAGACATGGGAGAGAAAGTCGGCCAAGCCATATAATGACAACTTGAGTGCCGCGAGGAAAAAAGCTGGGGAAAAAGCAAAGAAGAATGTGTATCCTCAATACGATGAACCGACCCACACCGAGATATGAGTGTGTTGAAGAACTTCCCCCTAGCTGGATATCTTCAGATGTGTGGAGCCAGATGGTTGATTGTTTGAACAATGATAATTGGAGAGTTGTTTCCAATGTGGCGTGTGGGAACCGTGATAGCCAAGTTGCGTTACACACATCGGTGGATCGATCCCATTTTTAAAGCATGGTGCTCGTTTGGTAGGACCTAAAACCCATTACTTTAGTAGCTTGATTTTTAATATATTATAATTAACATATGTTCGTATTATTTGACCATTGTAGACACTAGAAAAAGACGGTGTACCATCGACCATTGTGGAATTGTTCGATTATACGCATAAGAAGAGGTCGAGTGGAGAAGTTGCATCTACGGCGTCTAAGGGGGGTACGTGACCTCTAAGTGTAGCCAAGTCTAGTAAGTATATATATTAATTTTTATGTATATAAGTGGATACCTAACTATCTATCTAGGTTGGGCAAATGTTCGATACGTTTTGTAATAATGAATGAAATGTCCAATTCCGAACATTATAAGGGGAATCTGATGTAAAGATCAAGGGGGAGTAACTTCAAAATTGGCAAAAGACTCAAAAGTAGTGCGACCGGAGATGATTACGAAGATTATTCCGATGCTACAATGTCTGAGAGTTGTTGAATGTGAAGATCATCATTTTAACAGTTTACTGATAGAGATTTCTCATTATAAAAGAATGTTTGTGATCTTATCTGAAGAAATTCATTATTGGAGAGAATGTTTAAAATTTGTTGTCTAAAGATTGAAGTTCGTCATTGTTTCTGATCTACATTGTCAAAAGAGAAGATTATCGCGGTTCTACATTCGAGGGGGAGAATGTTAGAAGATCTTTCTCAACAAATGATTGTTTGAAATTTCAAGTTGAAGAATTTTGGTTTGATGAAGACATAGTGTGTTTAAAGCTTCAAAGTTCAAACAAGACTTAAAGCGCGCAAATTCTTTCAAGTCTGAATACAAAGGGGGAGAATGTTAGGACTGAAAATCAGTGTAAAATTGTATTCGTCTTGAAAGATAAAATTGTCTATAATTGTAGAAAAGTCGTCGTGTTTGACTTTTCTTAGATTGTTTGACTTTGACCATTTGTGTATTGTTTGACCCTATAAATAGGGTGAGGTCTTTGTAATCTAGGTTAGAGCTCATTGTAAAATCATATTCACGTAATATAGAGTTTAACTAGATTTGTAGATCTTGAATTGAAGAATCAAATGAAGATTGATTGATTGTGGACAAACAATTGGTATTAAAGCGCGTTTGCAGGAAATCTGATTGAAAAAATCATCACAAATTGCACAATTTTCTGGAAATTTCACCTTTTTGTTCTTAATGTTCATAAGTGTTCTTGAATGTTCATCCTTTTCTTCATAAATTTTCTCATAAATCTCTCATTTTTGAACAACTGATTGTTAAAATTGTGTTCATTGTGTACGGATTTAAATCGTGAATCTGTATTATTCTTTCAATTACATGATTTGGTCTTTGAAAGTAAAGATTTGAAGAGTTTATGAAGTTTTGATGTTCTTCGTGTTCATGTGAAAACTCATCAAAAAGGTAGAGTTTGATCTAAATTTTGTATAAAATTTT